CTAAGTGGTAACTGTGGCAGGTGGAGCATGGCTGGAAGAGGTGGGTCAGTGGGGACAACCTTGGAAAGGTGCATCTTCCCCATCCCCCCTTTCCCCTTCAGTCCTCTGCTCCCTGGCTGCCACACCCTTCTGCCCTGATGTGTTGCCTCACCCTGGGGAAAGGGCAATGAGTTGGCCACCACGGACTGAGACCTCTGGAAACATAAGCCCCAAATGATCTTGTCCCCCTCTAAATTGTTTTTGTCACATGTAGTTTGGTCACAGCAATGGAAATGCTGATTAAAATAATCTCTAATAGGACTAGCAATTCTCTCTGGGTGGTAAAAGTACACAATTGTAGTTTTCTTACTATGCTTCTCTTTTTTCCCTAATCTCTTTGAAATATATGCACGAACACGCGCGTGCATGTGCGCGCGTGCGCACACACACACACACACACACACACTCGCAATCAGGAGGTAAGAACCGTGCATTTTTTTTTAAAAAAGGCAAAGAAAGAGTGCACTCAGAAGAGGGCTCCTGGACATCCTCAGAAGTACCTCGCTGAGGAGATGAATCATGTCAGGACTGACACTTGTACTTGTCTGCATGTTCCAGGGTGACTGGTCATCAGGAACGATTGGGTTTTGTATCAGGTGACCAGGGTCCCTGAGCACCCCGGCATTTGCTCTGCCCATGACGAGGTATCTAGCACAGCTGGGAGTTGAGAACTGGCCATGTCAACCCTCCAAAGCATAGCCCCTCACACACACATTAACCTCTCTGCCCCTTGATCACGCCACAGTTCAGTGTAGATAAGATCAGTACTTCTCATCTCCCTCACCTACTCAACTCCCTTTTTCCCAAAGCACTAATATTCTAACATATTACCTAAGATATTTTTTAATTGCATGTTGTCATCTCTTTCCCCACTTCAGTGTAAGCCCCAGGAAGGCAGAGATCTTTGTTTTGTTCACTAATGGATTCTAGGAACCCACAATAGGTGCCCAAGAACTAGGTGCTGAACAAAGGGCTGTAGACACCCCTGAGAGGTCCAGAAAATCTCAAATAAATAATTAGCAGAATATTTTTATGGAGATATATCCATTCCCCAAGGAAAACCCACAGAATAAATACTTTATGTCACTAGATGACGATAAAAACCAATGCAAAAATTCTATATCGATACAGAATTTTAAGTGCCTTATGCATCTCTCAACCTTTAAAACCAAAAATAAAAAAATACTTGCAACTTGGAGGACTTGGTGGCTGATCAGATTATGGCGGGCACTGGAAAGGAAAGAAGACTGAAGAACTGACCCTGTGTCAGGCAGGGTCACTGGGGACGTCAGTGAGATGTCCTGGCAAGAGACCACAGGACCAGGGCACCTCCGGACTGGAAGGAGGTGGGTGAGGGGCGGGGGATGGTCCCCCTGGAGGTGAGGGTGCACAACATGGGTGTGTGTGGCTCACTGCCGGGGCCAGGGCGAGAGGAGAGCAGGAGCGGAGAACGGGGCTCAGAGGCAGCTTCAGCTGAGGTTGGGAGCACCCACAGGGGAGGTGGATGGAGGAGGGTGGAGAGTCAGGAGCCCAGGGAGGAGTGAGGAGTGACTGTGTGAGGGCTGAATGTTGCAAGGATATGGAGGAGGATAAAGTCTGAGCAGTAATCACTGGGTGTGCCCTGAGTTAAGTCAGTGAAAACCCTTTATCCAAATGTAGTGGCTAGAAGCCAGATTGCCCAGGGTGGAAATATGGGTAGATGGACAGGCATAAATTAACCACAGCGGTTGCCTCTTATGAATGTGGAATGTGCACATAGTGAGCACCTATAGTATGGTGTGCCAGATGTGGATTCTAGTTCCTTTCCATTATTCCTCAAATTGCCTTATTAAATAACTGCTAATATGCCCACTTAACAGATGGGCAGACACAAAGTGCCCGGTAGGGACTTCCTAATTATGGACATGAGGTGGCATGGCCAGGGGTAACCAGCACTGAGGCAATGTACTCCAAACTAGGTTCCTCTCTCAATCTGCCTTCCACTCAGTTCCGGATCTCTCACAATGTCACACAGTCAGAAAGAAGATAAAGTCCACACAGGGCCTAGGCTGTCAGGGCACGATGGCCAGAGAGCTGGCTCTGGATTAAAGAAAATCCGGGCATGATTTGCCAGCTGAGCTTGACAGTCTCAATTTCTCTGAGTCTCAGAGTCTCAATTTCTCTGCCCATGAAATGGCACAGAGGTATGCTCTTGTCCTTTGCTGTCCCAGTGTATTAACCATGGATTTATTTTTCATATATGATGCTTTGACCTGTGGGTCTTTGCTCATCCTGAAGGAACTATCTCTCCAAAGTCCAAACACAAAAGAGTCCACACTCCAACAAGAGAGAGGCCAAGAACACTGGTTCTTATACCTTGGGCCTGTTCAAAACTGTTTAAACCACCCAAAGCTGGGTACAGACACCTGGGAAGTCCTTGTTTCCCAAAGACCCTAAAACAACCCCACCTGGCCAACGCTAAACCAGGTTTCCTGTCTCACCTCAAGGAAAAATGCAACAGATGCCCCTTTGTCCCCTCTCCCTCTGCCTCCTGCCTGACCTTGTGCACAATCACCCCCATGGTCCTTAAAAATGTGAGTGAAAAATCATGTTTTCAATAGCCAAGGGCTCCTGGTCTGATATAAGTCAAATTTTCTAATAAAACACTCAATTTTAGATCAACATTTTATCTTTTTTCCACTTCCTCCAGACCAGGCACTGTTCTAAGAGCTTTAGAAAGAACCACCTATTTCCTCCGCACTACAGATGAGTAAGGCTATTCAGAGATGGGGTAACTCAGGCACAGCAAAGTTAACTACCTGGCCCAGAGACACCAGCTCATAAGTGCTGAGCTGGAATCCCCCTGACTGTATCCCCTGAGATGATGATTTCAGCAGTCTACCAAGCCTCTCTCTGTGACCTGGCCAGATCTGGACTAACAGTCCAAGGTAAGAGAAACTGAACTGTTAATTTACCATGTGCGGAGCATAGAATTTTCTTTTTGTTCTCCTGCATCTGATCCCTGTAGATGGGGTCTCCAGATGTTTATCCAGCCTCTCCCCTGTATCTCAGCATAGCCAAGGCTGGTTGGCCTTGGCTGCCCAAGTTGAAGTCCATGTCCAGAGGAAGAGCACTGCTGTAGGGCCAAACACTCATGCCCTTTGCTCTGTGTGCATCTCACTCTTGGGCCCAGGACAAGGATTTTCAAATATAACCTCTCCTGCCCCCCAATACAGATATTTGTATCTCAGAAGGACTCACCCCAAACAGGGCAAGCAAAGAGAAAGGCCAAAAATAGAGGCACAACGTGGAAAGACAGCAGCTCCGTAGGCCAAAGAGGCTTCTGTGTGGCTCAGGGGCAATGCCTTGGCCCTGGCCCAGAGCTGGAGACCCACCCTGCATCCTGCCCGACCAGCCCAATTGCATAATCTGAAATGGTAGACAGACCTTCCCTCTTCCAAAAACCTCTCTTGCCCCAGTTGTGACTGCTAAGCCACACCCAATCAGAGTTTGCCCTTTGGTATCTGAACAGTCCCTATCCAACTCTCAGGTTATAGATGGCCACAAATTTGCCCAACAACTTATTACATGTGGGGATTGAACCCAGGATCAATCCCCACTGTTAAGCAAGTGCTCGGCTGCTGAGCCACGTCGACAGCCCTCAGTGTCCTTGTGGATAAAGTAGCTTCTCAATATTCCTGCCAAGCTGCCCTGCCTGCTGCTGCATACCTGCAGGGTCAAGGAGACCATTACCTTTCAGAGCAAGGATTTTGGAACAGAATGTTCAGTAAATGACCATCTCTCCAGATCCTTGGTTTTAATCATTCACCCATCCATTATTTGTCTTTGCATTCTTCTAACATTTAGCAAATGCCCAGCCTTTGCTTAGATGTTGTGGACACAAACACAGGTGCAACATGTGGTTCCTTTCAGCATATGATTTTATGATTCATCTACACTGTAGCAAGCGGTTCTTACAGTTAAATAATATTCCCCTGTATTGGATAAATGACCTTTTACTGTTCATTCAGTGAGTGAAGGGCCTTTGGGTTGTTTCCTGTTTCTGTTATGAATTAATGAGCTACAGGGAGCTTGCTCTGTAGCAGACAAGACAGATGTAAGGGGGTGTTCACTGCAATGCATGTGAAGCCCTGAATGGGGGACTCAAAGTGCTCTGGTGCACATGGGAAGGTGTGGTGGGGACACAAGGAAGGCCCTGAACTCCCCTTTCATAGGGTCACTGAATGTCCAACATTGGGGATTTATTTAAAAGCACAGTGGTACACTCCGACTACGGAAAAACTATGTATTCACTCAAAGTATTGACGGGTATCTCTGTGTTGATATGGAAAGCCATCACAGACAACCCAAACGGGGAACACAAGTTATAAAACTGACAGCTGCTGTCAGAGACAGGTGTCAATTTCTCCAACACTTAAAGTTCCCACCTGGCCCAGCAATTTCAATCCAAGTTTTCCACCAAGAAAATAGAAAACATGTAGCTCTTTTATTCAGAATCATCAAAAACAGGAAGCAACCCAAAGGTCCATCATCCACTGAGTGAACAGTAAAAGGTCACTTATCCAATACAATGGAACATCATTCAACTGTAAGAGCCACATGCTACCATGTAGGTGAAGCATTCAGACATTATGCTAAGTTAAAGAAACTAGGCACAAAATGCCCCAAGTTGTATCATTCTATTTCTATGAAATTTCCAGACCCCAAAATAGACCGTGGTTGCCAGAATCTGGGGAAGGAAGATGGAGAGGGACAGGGAATGACTGTGGATGTTAGGAGGTTTCCTTCTGGTGCAGTAAAAATGCACTGGGATTAGACAGTGATGACATTGGCACCTATTTTTATTGCATTAAAACTGCTGAATTGTCCAGTCAAAAAGTATATTGTATGTGAATTATAGTTCAATACTATAAGGAAGTAGTTTTAAATACAATTAGGCATAAACTGATCATATCTTCATAGAAATATAAATTTTTATTTTCATAGAAAAAATTTTGGAAAATTCCCCTCGCATTTAACTGCAGCCACGAGATTGGTGATGGCCGATGGCGTAGGAGCGGCATCAGGCGGGGTTGGGTGGGGTCAGCACAGCGAGGAGGCAGCTGGGCCTCCTCCACACTGGCTCTTCCCCTCCAGCCAGCTGGAGGTAAGGCTCGGAGGCCCTCGGGGATCAGGAAGGTACATGACTGCCAGAGACCAAGTCCCTGATTTGTACTTGGGTAACAGCTGCTCCCTTATCTACACCAGCTTCCTGGATGTCACGTGAGCAAGAAACCCATTCCGATCATGTCTGAGCCCCTGCACAGCTTTGGGACAGATGCAGGATGGTTGCCAATAATTTGTAATCTATGACACAGGGACTTTGCCAATTGTGTCTCTGTTCCTACCCCAAGCAGGTGTGTGCACACTCACCCAGCCCTGAGCGTGGCCTTCAGAACCAGAGTGTACAGTAGCCACTGTCAATGGCTGGCCGTTCCCCTTGGGCCTCACAGCACAGCTCAGTGGCCTCAGGTGACTTCCAACAACTCCCACCTGCCAGGAGCTCCTTCCTGCTTGAAGGATTTCCTGAAGTGGAGCAAGGCCATTCTATGCACGGCAGGACAGCGACACCAGGGTCCCAAGACCCTCCCATCCCCGGGAGTAGCTGTCAGTCAATAGCTGAATGGACCTGGTGTCCAAATAACCCAGCGCCCTCGCCTGTTAGATGGACCAAATTCTCCCCCCACCCAGTTTTCTCCCAGTCTTGAGCTCCAAGGAGCCAAGTGAGAAGTGGCCACATAAGGACCCCTCGTGGGCAGCTGTGCCTTCCCTACCTCACAGTCTCACCCCATCGCTATTTCCCACATCTTCCCAAATTAATCACCTGCACTTGAATCCTTGTCTCGGCTCTGTTTCTGTGAAACCCAAAGTGAGAAAAACACCCTTAGCTCTCTAGTCATATACACTATTATAGATGGAATTGTGAGCCCTGGAATTCATGTGTGGAAGTCTAACCTGCAGTAACTCAGAAAGTGACTGTATTTGAAGACAGAAAGAAGATGACACTAAAATGAGGACATTGTGGTGGACCCTCATCCAATATGTCCAGTGTCCTCATAAGAAGAGGAAATTTGAACATAGAGACCCCAAGGGCACCTGTGTTACCAGAGAACTCCCCAGGGGTGGTGGCAACAGGGGGACAGAATTCTGCAAGCCAAGGAAGAAAGCCTCCAGAAAAACCATCTCTGCTGTCACCTTGATCTTGCACTCCAACCTCCAGAGCCATGAGAAAATAACTTCTGATGACTTAAATCACTCAATCTGCGGTATGTTGCTATGGCAGCCAAAGCAGATTGCAGCATGATCCCAACCCACTTCTTTCCTTCTTGCTCAAAAGAATCTCAGGTCCTCAGATGGATAAGGGTTGCCTAAGTTCACACAGCAACTCAGTGTCAGAGTCAGGCCTTTCAGTTCTATTGTATGGTAGCCAGTTATCATTGCTTGTGTTTAATACACCAAGGAGCTGTTTGAATCCCAGCCTAACCACAAGGCAAAATAGTTGGATTTTGTACAGAGTGGCCTTATCAGTTCATTGGCCCAGGATAAGGAGAGCAGGGTTGACAGGTGATGAAAGGCCAGAGCAGGACCTGGGCAGAGGTCTTCTGTTTTCCCAAGGTGGCTTGGCAAGCCTACCCTTGCCCAGGCAAGACCAATATTGACATAAGAGGCACCGCGTAACCAACAGCCAGAAAGCACCAACCAGCCCTGAATACGCTCATGGGTTCCTGCCCAAGACCACAGGCCCGGCTGAAGCAGCTCCTGGAGACCCAGATTCAAAAAGAGGCTCTCTTTCCGCTCCTGTGGCTGAAGGTGGGGGAGGACTTCTGCGGAGGTTGGGGGGATGAGGGCTTTGTGACATTAGGATGTGTCCCCAGACGTGACTGACTTGTACAGAGGTTGAACTGGGTAGGGGTTCCTTCCGTACTTTTATCTGGGAAAAAAAACATAGATCATAAAAAGAACCCTAATTAAAGCACCCCGCCCATTCCTGTCCACATGGGGTGATCTGATTGGTCCTCCTAAGTAGACAACAAGGCTGTTTCCAGTTACTGAGCACAACACACACACACACACACACACACATATGTACCACCCTACCTTTTGCTCTAGCCAGCTGCCCTTTGAAACCTGGCAAACAGCCCTGGCCTTCAGCCTGTGAAGATTAAAGCAAAACATGAGAGAAAGGAATGGATTATCCAAATCTCCTGTTGAATCACAACCTGCTTGTGATAGCGGCTCATTTGCAAACAGAGGCAGCCTCTCCCAGCCTTGCCCGCCCTGGCCACAGCCTCTGGTGCTGGCTCATGATGACTCTGCTGAAATGACACATGATGCCTGAGTCTCCCAAGCCTCACACCAGAGCTCTCAGTCTCTCCACAGGCCTGATTTCCCTGTGTCACTTGGGCTACAGCTGACTCACCCCTTGTGTGGCAGTTGCAGTTGGCTGGGTCATTGCTTTTCCTTTGGGGGATCTCTGAGGTTTCCCATCTGGAGCTTTCTGATTGGGAGAACTATCTTCTAGGAACTGTCCTAAAGTCCTAAACTGTTGAGCAAGACTTTGAACTTTTCCAAATTAACTCCTCAAATCTCCCCCACATCTATTAATTTACTCAACAGACAAATACATGGAGTGTGCCTACTAGAACAGGCGTTGGACTAGAGCAAGCCCGTGTCCTCCTGGGCTCTTCACCCAGCTGTCCTCTAAGTCATGGGGGGGATGAGTGGAGACTGCTGCAGAACACTTCCCTGGGAGACCGGGACCGGCTCTGCACGAGCTCTGAGATCCAGAATCCTGCGGCCTCTTCCCCAGCAGCCTAGACACAGGCCATGTTTCTAGCACCTGTACTCATCTCATACGGATGTCACATTTTTTGCCATTGGGCAAGTTGCCAGATTCTAAATGAGCTCCTGGTCTCAAGTCTCAACAAAAGTCAAATAAAATAACATAATATAAAAACAAAAGGAGAACAATAAAATAAAATAGCTAGGGGGCTGGGAAGGAGAGGATCTCCTGCAGGTATGCCTGACAAGGGCTAATGCAAAAGACTCTTCTAGAACCACAATCATGGGCAACAGCCACCACGACCTCATGCAAATATGCCACAGGATGCCAGCCTGCTACTGCCTGTCCAGCCCTGCACTCATGCCACCCTTGACATTGGCTCTTGAAATCTCTGTAACTAGAGCTGTGGACAAAGATGGTTGCTTCAAAATAGCTTGTGCAATCCTCCTCGCTGGGCCTTTGAATCTCCCCTTCACCAGCCTTCAATGCACCCTGCTCTCCACAAGGTGCTGGCTCCCCACTGTGCTGCTCCCAGTGACCCCAGGTAGGCATCAGGATCCCTTTAAGAGTCTCTCTCTGTGTTTATGTTAGGACGACACCAGGTCAACATACCATCTGTGGTATTGCTACTAGTTTCTAAAATAGACGTTGGCTTCTTAATTTTAACAAAATGATTCACAGAGAGACTTTTCTACCATTTCCATAAGTGGAAGACCTCTATTCCTTGCAATAAATTAAACGTTAGCATGGGAAATGAGTCATCGTATTTCTTAAAATTAAAATCATGGTAAAATAAAGGTAAATAAGGAATTATAAGTAATGATATATTTAGTTTACCGAAAGGTATATCTGAAAACAAATTACTCAGAGTGCAAAGGGAACTGCTGATGGTCATTCATTAAACAGACAGTGACCACCTTGACCACCATCATGGCTTCCCATGAGGTCACAAGTCTGGCTTTGAGGAGGGTCCTCGTCACTGCAGTCATTTCCTTGAGCTTCAGGGAACTTCTTCCTGTTGACATCAGACTGTCGGGCTGAAATTGTGTGACATTTACACCTCTGAGTGCTCTTGATGTGGTGGCATGAAAAGGGGGTTAGACTCTCCGGGCTCCTCATAACATAGTGGTCACCCTGAAGGACACAAGCTCCTGGCATTCTGGCCGTCCACAGGAGGCCATCCCTCTGGGACTGCTGAGAAAGAAGGTATGAGAGTAGGGCAGCTACAGTAGCCAATGGGCCCAAAGTTCAATGGCTTATTTTGCTTATGTGAAGAGCTAGAGCACTGTTCTGATCAACGATGCGGTGCCCTCCACGTGGTCACCTATGGATCTTGACCAGGGTGCTGGCAGGCTTTCTGTAGATGGTGAATATGGAGGTTTTGTGGGCCAGGCAGTCACTTTGGCCACCACCCAGCTCTGCTGCTGAAGGGACAGCAGCCCTAGATGTTACACAAGCACACGGCAGGGCTGGGTTCCAATACAACTTGTTTCTATAAACAGACACTGGGACAGATTTGGCCTTGGGCTGTAGTGTGCTGACCCCAGGCTTGACTCTGGTAGCTTTCACTTGTTGTTTCCTCTGTTGTCATGAGTGGTGGCTACAGTCAGCTGGAGGTGGAGGAGCATGGAGGAGTGACCACAGGGCTCCAGGGTCCAGCCTAGAGAGGCGCTCCTGCCTGCCAGGCACATCCCCTGGGAGGGACTCAGTCACCTGATCAGTCCAAGGGAGGCTGGGAAGGCAGGTGGTTTGCATGTGGCCCAAGAAATTGGGACAGATTTAGTGAACTCCCAGGAATCCCTGCCACAAATAATATACACTAAATCATGAATTTTATATTAGGAAGTGTTTTTCTAATACACAACAAAATAAATGCATATTCCTTATATTTATGACTTAGTCTGTGCACCATCAGAAAGACCCACTAAACTCCAGGGATAAATGCACTGCACTTTGATAAACAATGAATGTTATATTTGTTTGAATCAATTCATAAAAACCTGATTGTAAAACCAGTCCCTGTTTGAAAACTCTGTAAAGGTTTTCATCAGCCTTTTAATACAAAAGAAAAAAAAAAGATAATTGAGCAAGACATGCAAAACTTTAGACCTAGAAAAATTAGGATTGAATTGTAACCCGTAAAGGGTTCCGTAAAAGTTAACTATCTGTTATAAACATCTGGGTAAAAAGAGTGGTCTCAAAATAGAAAAATGTTTTGTGTGTTTTCTTGCCCTGATAATGCATCAGTGTTTATATTTGTTAACACTCAAAACTATCTATGACATCAACTGAGGGTACTGGGTATTACAAGATGGGCAGGATTTGGAGGGACAGAGAAGAGAGGTCATTAGCAGTGGTGCAGGCAGGCTTGGGCACTTCCTGGGGGGCCAGTTGGACTGGACAGGTGAAGAGAGCCTGAATGGCAGGCTCTGAACAGACATCATGCCCAGACAATGGGGAAACGCTGAAGGGCTTTGATTCAGGCATCTACAATGAAAAATTTACGAAAACAACATCTGGCAAAAGCAGGCGAGCCTTCTGGATGGGTCAGCAGAGCCAAGAGAAACACTAGACACTCACTCACGCGGGGGAAGGTGAGTCCTCCTTTTCAAACACAGTTAAGTCCTCTGCGTGGGAAAGCTTGACTTTGGGCTTGCACAAGACTCAACAAGAATGAATGATATTGTCTTCTCCTAAAAGTTTGCCTAATCACAGGATCTATTAGCGGGACCTTGTCTTTTCACATTGGAAGGTCATGGGGGTGATGAAATCTCCAGAATATTTTGTGGGCTGATTGACAGTTGAGAGAGAATGCAACCCTTCTTAGACCCTCTAATGTGTTGTCTGTTTCTACTTTTTATTCTATAGACACAGGCCATGAGCACATCTGGGTGTGTAGGGCAGTTGAGGGGAAGGATGGGTCGCTATACTATCTTACTTTATCCCATCAACTTGGGGGATTCTCAAGGGTCTTCAAGTTACTCACATACTTTCTTTGTTTTTGGAAATGGAATCTCATATGCTGCTAAGGCTGACCTTGAGCTTCTAGGCTTAAGTGATCCTCCTGCCTCAACCTCCTAAGTAGCTGGGACTGCAGGCAGATATTGCTGGACCCAGCCAAAAGGTCTCTTACACCAGCCACTAGCATATACAACAAGGCACGCAAATTCAAACCAGGTACCCAAATTGTACCTATTGAATTGGCAAGGATTTTTACCACTACTCTTTCAGTACTGATGCCAGGTATTGGCAAGGGTAGAGAAAAACAAACTTTCTTGGAGGCAATTTGGTAAAATATATATTAACACTTAGAAGGGGGATCTCCTTTGTGCTAGATAATTACATGAACTGTGTTCTTATTTTCTCTCTTCTAATGTTTTCATATCAAAGTGCTTGTTGACCAAGAATTGGCTAAGTCGTAAAGACAGGGAACCTCTCACCCCTGAACATTCCTTTCCTGTATAAACTAACCAATCCAGGGACTTAATCCTTTATTAGGCTCTCATCCTCTAGATCACTGCCTGCTTTAATCACTACAGGGGTAGATACTGGATACTGGAAGGAATAGCCATATGTCCCAGAGCCCATTGGAGTTATTCAGACCAATGAATCCTAAGGCTACATCCCATCTCACCTCTCCCCTTCCTTGCAATAGAGCCTCTGATTGACAACCCCTGCACCTGCCATATGACCCCAGTGCTTTCCCGTGTGGCCCCCTCCCTACATGCACAGAGTGCACCTTGACTCGGGAACCATGAATAATGAACTCTCTGTTCAACAGCAGCCATCTCTTGAGCTACTGGCCTTGGCCTTGTTATGTCTAAATAATAATTAAACCCATATTTCAAAACAGTGTGGAGAGGAATAATTCTGAGTAAGTCCAGTGACATGTCAGATGGCTACCTGAGTGAGACTGACCATAGGAAATAATCTGAACTGTTCTCAGTGAGCAGCCACAGTAAGTGATGGGTGGATGTGTTGAGTATTCACACTCTGAGTTGCAATGAGCAATTTTTCTTTACAAAAATGTAAAGAAACATTGTTTTGAAATATTTAAGAAACCAATTCATCATTTCCTATGAAAGAAAGGGGATTGGTAGATTTCTAACCCTCTAAAAATTCAGTAAAGTACAAACCCGTCTGGACAAACACATGAGGAGACCATGACAACATTTTGGAAGGTGGAAGGTCAACAGAGCAACAAGAACTGCTTTTAGAGAAGAGAATGTGAAAGTCAGTGAGCAGGAAGAAGGAAGACCCCGAGCAAATACAAGTGTAGAATGGAGATGGCAAAGGACTCTCTGGATTGAGAGGTCATAGGGACCCTCTCAATGGGTTTACAAGCAGCCCCCACTGACAGGGATGAGAAGTACAGCTCTCCCCTGTGAGATCCACAGCCCAGGCAAAGCTTCCCACAGGCTCTCTGCACCTCCAATCCCAGAACAGGCTCTTGAAACTCTAACCACCTAATTATATTCCAGCATCCAAAGGTCCTCAGGAGGGGTCAGCATAATGCAATTTCCATCCAGAAATCTGAGTTTCAAAATAAAGAAGTTTCCTGAAGTTCAAGGACATGGCTGCAGTAACCA